GTGGGGTGGGGTGGGGTTGGGTGGGGTGGGGTCGGGTGGGGTGGGGTGGGGTGGGGTGGGGTTGGGTTGGGTGGGGTGGGGTGGGGTGGGGTGGGGTGGGGTGGGGTGGGGTGGGGTGGGGTGGGGTGGGGTGGGGTGGGGTGGGGTGGGGTGGGGTGGGGTGGGGTGGGGTGGGGTGGGGTGGGGAAGCGCCAACCTTGGGCAAAAAAGGCCGGCAGGAATGGCAAATCCCCCAGGAACGTGGAGGAGGAGGAGAGGTAGGCAAAAGGGGTGGGGTATTGCGTAAGGAAACCCAGGACATGGCGCCTGTACGTCTAACCCGCACAGCAGACACGGTAAAGTGTATTGCAATACTCCAATCTCTGAGGAGGGAAAGGGAAAGGGACCAACATCCCCGGGAGGTTGGGAGGACAGGGCCTAGAGAAGTCCTGAGAGTCGTACTGCACCACCACCAGCGCCACCAGCACATACATCTCCACCAGCACAAATACCTCCACCAGCAGCAGCAACAAGAGCACCACTACCCGCCGTATATCGCCCACCCAGCTCCGCCCTCACCTCCAGGTCATCCCGCATCAACACGTAGTCCGCCGCCTCAATGGCGATGTCGGTGCCGCTGCCAATGGCCAGACCCACATCCGCAGCGGCCAGTGCCGGGGAGTCGTTGATGCCGTCACCCACCATCGCAACCACCTTGCCACCGGACTGCAACTCGCGAATCTGTGGTGGTATGGGATAGGTGGTGGTATGCGGGGTCGCGTATTGCGGGTATACGCCCCGGGCCGCTGGTGCCGTGGGATGAACCCCACTTCAGCGCCCCACAACCGGGCGAGAGCTCCGCTCGGCAACTCAGCTACCCCACCAGCACCAGTTTCGCAGCAGACTGACATACCGGCACGCACAGAGACACACTTGAAGCCCAGCCCAGCCCAGCGCACCTTCAGCGCCTTGGTCTTTGGCAGCGTCTCTGCGTGAACCGTGTCCACTCCCAACTACACATGTCGTGCGGTTCGTGCGTGTTTGTACGGGCCATGTGGGGGAAAAGGGAGGGGGAGGGCGAGGTGGGGGAAAGACGAACCACGAACGAGTGAAGCTGCTGCGAGGTGGGGGGCGGGAGTCGATTGGACGGACGCTAGAGAAAGACAAAGATATCCAGTAAGACAGGATACGCCGCTTTTGCACAAAGTGGCGATGAGGTGGTAAATGGTGGTACGGAAGCGGTGCGAACGCGGTGTGGAAGATTCGGTGGCGACGACCAGGCCCGACAGGGAGTAGTACTAGTGGTAGTGGTAGTGTTATGGGCTACTACATCCCACCACACTGCCCCGCACCTGCCCCGCCAATGCTCTCGCCGTCCTCCAGTTATCGCCCGTGAGCATCACCACCTGCACACCTCGCCCCCGCAGCGCGGCCACTACCCCCGCCGCCTCCGCCTTCAGCGGGTCCGCCACCGCCAGCACCCCCGCCAGCACCCCGTTCACCGCCACGTGCACCACCGTGTGCCCACAACTCTCCATAGGCCCCACAAACGCCTCCGCAGCCGCAGGCACATCCACCAACTCCTGCTGCATCAATGACCGGTTTCCAACAGCGACGCGAATGCCTGCTGTTGCGGTAGTGGTCGTCACCGCGGATGCGCTGCCGCCGCCGCCGCCGCCACCGGCGGCAGCTGCGGCCGCCGCTGACGTCGCCGCCAGCTGTGCCAGGTGTTCGGCGCTGACAACGCAGGTGATGCCGACTCCGGGTGTGACGACAACGTCACGGGCCCTTGGCAACATTGCCTCTAGCTCGGCGGCCTGCTCCCGTTTGCTGGCGCTGCGGCCGCTGGTGCTGCGGTCGTGTGGCAGTGGCGGTGAGGACAGTTCCCGTTGGAGGGAGGAGTCATTCCTGAACACCGCGGACCCCCCCACAGTCGCTGTGGACATGGCCGCAGCCGCAGCTGCGGTATCTCGGGTGGTAGCCCCGTGTTGGGCCATCAACAGGTGGACCCTGAATGGTCAGGGGAAGGGGAGGGAAGGAGAGGTTGGGAGGGAGGATGGAAGGGGGCGTAACGTGTAAGGTCAAAACAGCACCCGACACCCAGCAGGAATGCCACTATCAATCCCACCCACCTGCAAAAGTCCAGTATAGCTCTCGCCAGAGGATGCTCCGAAGAGCTCTCCGCCGCCCCCACACAGCGACACAGGGTGGCTAGGTCCAGGGGGGCTCCCAGACCCGGCCAGCAGCTGCCGGTACCCGCACCTTCCCCCGCCGTGCACTCGAACAACCGGCAGTCGGTGACTGTGGGCCTGAGCGGTGAAGAGCGGGGTGATGGGGGGGGGGGGTAACTGGGAGGTGGTGCCAAGGAAGTATATAGCCCCCTGGGGGGGCTGCCATTCCAGCCATCCGCATCCGCAAAATTCCAAAAGAAACCCCGCTTTCTGCCATCCACCCTGCCAGCTAAGCCAAATCCTTCTCTTCCTCTTGGAGGTCTTACTGGTATCCCATCATCCCCGGAACCTGCGCTCTGAGGCGCCGTGCAGTTTTCTTCCCCACCCTCAGCCCCCCCCCGGTCCTCCACAATCTTGCACCCCACCACCACTTGCATTATTGCACAGGCCCAGGCCCCTCCCCACCCCCGCAAAAGGCGTATAAGTGTCTTTATGTTGCCCTCCGCACCCTGCGGTGTATGGGCCTTGAGGAGCTGGTGAAAGTGAACACAAAGAAACACCGATCCGCTTGAGAGAACGGGGATGTGGTAAAAGGCGGCAGCCAAATCCACTTTCACCATCCAGGAGCCCCTCACGGCCCATACACCGCAAAGTGCGGAGGGCTTCATAACGACACTTATACGTTTTTTTTTCTCAGTCAAAAAACCTTATCAATAAATTCAAAGATTCCCACAAATCTCAGCAGATTGTGCACTTATCTCGGCGCGCAGCTGGCTTTAGCAGCTCCTGCCGCTAGCAGGCGTCGCTTACCTGCCCCGTGTGAGTGTCCCAGTCTTGTCAAACACCACCACATCGACCTTGCTGGCAGCCTGGGGCCCGGGGGCGACAGAGGAAATCGGGGAGTTGGGAAATCACATCATGGTGACGTTGATAATGTTAGGGATGTTGGTGATGATGGTGACGATGCTGATAATGCCGATGGTGATGATGTTCTTTACGATATTGATGCCTCACCTGTCCCCACCACACCCCTCTGGGCACTTCGTACCTCCCCCCAGTCTGCGAACATCGCCCTTGCCCCATCGCGGCCCTGCTACCCGGTGGACAATACATGATGCCAAGTCAAGAAGGGAAAACAACTTCCGGAGTCCAAAGCTGGGGGAGGGAGGGGAGGGGCGCGAGGGGAAGGGAGGGGAGGGGAAGGCGGGCGGACGTGCCATGAAACACGTTCGACCTAACGAGTCAACATCAGCAGCACTGCTGGCTGGCATGGAGGCTAGGCTGTGACCAGGTTCGTTCCTCCCCTGCCACATCCGACGGCCCCCTTTCCCTTCATCCCAAGTACCTATTCCCTCTTCCCCTCCCTCATGGGCCCCTTCCCCGTCAGCACCGCCACCGCCACCGCCACCACCACCACCACCACACTCCTTACCTCAAGCGCATCCGCGCCCTTGATCAGTATGCCCATTTGCGCCGCCAGCCCCGTGCCCACCATCACCGCAGTCGGGGTGGCCAGGCCCAGGGCGCAAGGGCACGCGATCACCAGCACCGCAATGCCGAACAGCAGTGCGAACAGGAACGGCGTGTGTCCCTCGGGCAGCCAGGAGGCGGGGAAGGCGCCCGTAAGGCCCGCCACGTACCACCCCAGCCACGTCAGAAGGGCGGCGGCAATCACCACCGGCACGAAGACACCGGCCACGCGGTCGGCAAAGGCCTGCGGATGGGGATTGGGGTGGGGTGGGGGTTCTCTTGTTTCGGGGAAGACTGGGGCGCGCAAATGGCGGTAGCAATCATGTAAGTATGTATGTTGTTACAGGGTGGTTAACTTCGCCAGCGGCCCCCTTTCCCGGGGCAGTCCCTGCTCTCCCCTGCTAGAGGGGCACCCTAATCCGTCACCCCATCCGACTTCAGAATGTATTCGTTGGGTTCGGCAACTCACCACCAGCATCCAACCAAATCTAGCGGATCAACGGCGCATCAACTTAGTTCCTGGTCAGCTCGCAAGATGATATTATCACGTCCTACACCGTCCATATGATGGGGGGCCACCTCCCATTTCATCACTCCTCAAACACCCGAGGAGCTGGCAGGCGGATTTGAACCCGGGTCGACTGGATCGACTGGGAGCAGAAGTCAGGCCTTAACTTCTGCCAGCCGCCTGCCTGTATGTATGTATGTATGTATGTATGTATGTATGTATGTATGTATGTATGTATGTATGTATGTATGTATGTATGTATGTATGTATGCATGTATGCATGTATGCATGTATGTATGTATGTATGTATGTATGTGTGGCGACAGGAGTCAGCGAATCCAACGGCTTCACGAACGCGAAATGGCTACCCGTGCTGGCAGTGACAGGGAGGTTAGCGGCGCAGGCACACGGGGGTTAACCGGATCACTGGTGCCAGCTGGCCGAATACCATGATGGCATGGTAATAAATCGCCCTCTCCTCCCCCCCCCCTCTCCCCTCAAACCTCCAACCGAACCCAGTCCGGCTGTCTCCAATCCCCCCCCCAAAACCTCCACCCTCCCTCCCTCCCACCTGCACCGGTGCCTTGGTCATTTGAGCATGTTCCACCAGCCGCACAATCTGACTCAGCACGGTCTCGGAGCCAACCTGTATTGGATTTCATGTCCGTGGGCGCGGCATAGGTACGGAAGCACGGGGACATGCTGGATCAGGACTAGTATTGACAACCTACGGGTTGTCTTTGATTTTGTGTTTGTGTTTGTGTTTCTGTTTATGGGCGAGGGGAGGGCGAGGGCGAGAGGACAGGCCATGATGGGTCATGATGGCGCGGCGACGTAAACCTCCTGACCGCGAAGACCCCGAACCGGGTTGTGCGAGTGGGGAATTGGGGGGCTGTCAGGCAGGTCGAAACCCAACACGAATACCCGGGACGCTGAGGCGCACAATACGACTCGCAGGTGCGGATTGGGAGGGGGGCAAGGTAAGAGCTTAGGTGGTAGGCCCCAATGCCGAGACGTCCAAAGTTCAGCGGTGAGGCAGGCAATTCAGCGTCGCAGCAGCAGCAACATCATAACAAGCTGGCCAGCAAGGCAGCTGAACACATCGCAAAGCTCAAATACCCAGCCGACCAATCAAAACCTTCGTACCCAACTAAGCAGTCTGCCAGTCTCTTTTCCCTCCACCTTACCCTCTCCACCCCACTTCATCCTTTTTGGAAGTCGGCCGCTGTCCGTTGCTGCTTGCACCCCACCCCGCCCCACCTCACCCCACCCGATCCGCCCCCACCAAGTCTTCCCCCCCACCGCTCACCCTCGTGGCCCGCACCAGCAGCGGGTTGGATGTGTTGATGGTGCCCCCGATCACCACTTCCCCCGGTCGCTTCCACTTGGGTGCGGACTCCCCCGTCACCATGGCCTCATTCAGGTAGGACTGCCCCTCGTGGATGACACCGTCGGTGGGGACCTTGGAGCCAGGGACGACCTAGGGGGGCGAGGGGAGGGGAGGGGGAAAGACGAACCACGAACGAGTGAAGCTGCTGCCAAGGAAAGACTGATGCGTCAGAAGTAAGGGAGGAAGGGACGGAGGGGGATTTTAAATTCAAAAATTTAAAAATATTAAGGAAACGACCGCCCACGTGCAAATTCGGAAGGGGAGGGAGGAGGGGGGTGGAAGAAGAAGAGGGCGTGGCGGTGCTGTAGACAGAAGGCGTCGGTGATGGTGATGGTGGCGGCAGGGGACATGGAAGCGGCAGCGAGCGCCGGGGATAAGCGATGCCGTCACGTCAGCACGTCAGCACGTCAGGACAGTCGGCAGAGAGTAGCTAAGCATCACCATCATAATCAGAAGCACTGCACGTCAGCCGCACCAGACGGGCAAGAGAGGGCAGTACAGCGGTGCAGCAGATAGCGATGAACATCCCCACCACCCTCCACACACGCTCATGTTACCTCCCCCCCCCCACACACACACATCCACACCATTCCCCTCCGCCCCTCCCAACACACACAAAAACACCCATCGGTGTGTGGATTTCAACTCAAGTGATGCTCCCGTCGTATCTATAACTCTGTATGTATATCCAGTATGTGTGTATGCAGTGCCGGCGGCCCCGGGCCGCCCACTCACCCTCAGCACATCCCCCCTGTGTATGAGGGCACTGGGCACCTCCCTGGAGTCCAGCACCGCCCCGGTGGCCTCATCCAGGACCACCAGAGTGGCCGTGTCCGGGACCAGGGCCGCCAGGGCAGCTAGGGCAGCGGAGGTGCGGCCCTGGGGAAGGGGGTTAACAGGGGGGGCGAGGCGGGGGGGAGGAGGGGTACATGGACATCGAGAGGGGGTGGGACGCGAATGAGAGGAAGAGAGGAAGGAGAGAGAATCGGGGAAAAGAGGGGAGGCAGTGGTAACTGACAACGGAAAAGAGCGGACTGGGTGTGTGTGGGGGGGGTGAAGAAGAGCGCGAACCAGGCGGAGCGGAACGAGGCTCTGAGGGGTTGCTACATCACACCGAAGCCCCAACCACCTCCCAAAGAATCACCACCTGCTGCCTCCGTCACCGGAGGCCCACACAGGCCCCTTCCGCCCGCTGCCCACCTTCGCCGCCGCCTCCAGGTACTTCCCCAGCAGGATGAAGGTGATGAGCATGGCGGACGTCTCGAAGAAGTCCGTGGGCACGTATGCCATGGGCTGGGGGGCCCCAGCCGGCCCCGGGGCCGCGGGGGAGGACCCCGGGGGCCCGGCCGCGGCCATGTCCGCCGACATCTCGTAACTGCCCTCCAAACGGTGTCTGTCGAAGCGGAGGAAAGGAGCGCGAACCAGGCCTGGCGGGTGAGCTGGTGAGCGGGTGTGGTGACCGTCCAGCAGCCCGCGAGGTTCTGCGCAGGGAATAATCCCCTACCCACCCCCACCCCTGCCTACACGCGTCCTGTTGATCGCCTTCACAATGCAACAACAAACACATCGCCCGTGCACCTTTTGCACATACACACATACATACATACACATACATACACACAACACACCCATCCCTTGCTCGTTCGGGCCCTTTTAAAACCCCCCTTCCCTTCCCTTTACGCCCTGCACGATCACAAACAAGGGCGGGGCCCCCCACACACACGCCAAGACAACCCGCACCGGCAGCTCCCCTCTACGGGTGGCACCGGCAGCTCTGTTTCCAACTCGTCCCTTCCTCACTCACTTAGTGAAGTGGTGGAAGAGTATGGAAATGACGCTGTAGGCGTAGGAGGCATTCGTGCCCAGGGACACCAGCACATCCATGTTGGCCGTACCGCGACGGAGGGCCTGAAGGGCGGCCGGAGTTTACTTAGGGTGGTTTCGGGGCCAAGGAGTGGAGGCCGATTACGGAGGAGGATGGCGGGTTTCTAGGAGGGGTGAGGGATGTGCATGGCAGGGATGTTGAAGGCAGGGCGTAATGGGCATTACGTTCGCGGGTAGGGCCCTACCCGAGTGTGTAATTGTGGCTGTGTTGCATGTCATACTGGTAGCCTGCTATTAGTCGCGCTAGTGAGTGAGAGAGAGTGTGTGTGTGTGTGTGCGCGCGCGCGTGCGTATTTGTGTCTTGGTTTCTCCCACCAGGGACAGGACCGCGGGAAGATCCCCCTGGCACGGTCGACAAAGCATAACACAAGGCGCCGGTCGCCCAAACCGGCCCGGCCCACTTGGCATCCTATGCAGGGCTTCCCAATCCAGCTCCGAAACCAAGCCCTGCACGCCAAATCCTCCGCCTCCAGGGCCTTGCATTCTCGCACGGTACTCGATACCAGGTCAAGGCCCCATATGTTCACACGCACAAATACACATGTACAAACATACATACAGATTCAGCGACCCAGCCGCACCCCTCCCCTCCCCTCCCCTCCCCTACCTTTATCGCCCCCCTGTGGAACCTCCACCCCACGATGAACTGCACGGGGGTGGCCAGGGCCCACTTGACTAGCTGGTTGCAGGGGAAGCCAAGAATGGGGGTGGACATGAAGGGCTCGGAGCCTGGATGAAGCGGGGCAAGAGGATGGCGGGAGGGAGGAGGCAGAGATGAAGGGAGGCTCCGGCAAAAGACCCAAGGAGAGGAAAGGAGGCCGGGGGAGGGGGTTTGGGAGAATCGCATGCAAACCGCAAAAGATACGTCTACTACGGCATTGACTGTCGGCGTCCCAGGCGGAGACGCGACTGGGACGGGAAGTTAGGGGGCCTGGGTTGGAGGCGTGTGCAGGCAAGGACACGGCAATTACAGACAAACGATCAGATGCAGGTGGCGAGGGATTGAGTTTGAAAAGGTGCTGGAAGGCAAGAAAGTGGCGCTGGGGAGGGTGCAAAAGAGGGGTGTGACGGGCCCATTGCGGGATACGCCAGCCCCCTCATCGCCACCCGTCATCGCCGCGCCCTTGTTCGTGGCCTCCTGTCGCCCTCCCTCCCTCTGCCCGCTCACGCACCCGTCTGCCCTCCTTTCCACAGGACCCCCTTACCCGGCAACATGGGCAGCACCATCGCCACAAGGAACACGGGCACTGTGAAGAAGAGGCTGGTGGAGAACAGCCCCCACCAGTAGCGCAACTCCCGGTCCGCAGCACTCGCAGCGCTGCCGCCGCCGCCACCACCACCCGGCCAGCCCTTCGCGACGCCGCCACCATTGCTGCCGCCGACACCGGCGCCAGAAGGGGACCCCCACGGCGATACGGACCGTACCAGCTCGGCGGTCAACGGCTGCGAAGGCGGCGTCCCGCCACCGACGGCGGCACCGCCGTCGCACGCCTCGACGGCGCCGATAAGGTCCCGGGGCCCGGTGGTGTTGGGGTCGTACCACACGTCCACCAGCCCCTCCGCCAGCCGTACCCCCGCACGTGCCACACCAGGGACCCGCCGCAACGCCGCCTCTACGGCAGTGGCGCAAGCAGTGGTCGTCATGCCGTACACCTGTACAGCAACAGCGCCGCCATGCCCCACCGGGGTGGCAAAGTTATCACTGGCTTGGGACACGCGGAGGTCAACGGAGGGTAGACGGGTGATCAAAGGAGGGAAAAAGTCATATTGTTCGAAGGGAGACGGAACGGATTGCCGACCGATATTGGGGCGATGTTCCTGTCAAAAGCAGCTGCGGTGGACTGGCTGGTGGGCTGGTATGGGTTGGGCTATGGCCTAACCGTCCGCCACACCACTTTTTCCATGTGCTCTTGCCCCGTGTCCTTTAGAGCCCATTAAATTAATTCTCTATGCGACCCTCACCCCTCACATCTGCCCAACACACCCCGCCGCATGCATGCAGAAGTGCCTTCTTCCCCCACCCACTCCCCCGCCAGCCACTGCAAATCTCCCCGGGGGTCTCTCTCTCTCTATATATATATATGTATATATGTATATATATGTATATATATACATATATATGTATATATGTATGTATGTATATATGTATGTATGTATGTATATATGTATATATATGTATATACATATATATGTATATATATGTATATATATACATATATATGTATTTTAAACCTTCCCTCGCCCCCCATACCCGCTATCCACGCCAAGGTCGCGGCCCCCTCCCCACCCTCACCCGCAGCATGAGGGTCTCCAGGCCCCCCTGAGACAGCAAGGTCGCTTCGAAGCCCGCGTCCTCCACAGCTGACAACAGGGCCTCCTGGGGTGGGGGGCCCCCAGTAGCAGCAGCAGCAGCAGTGGGTGGTTCTACTAATAGAACATGGCAGCAGTAGCAGGAACCAATTCCGCCATTGAGATAACACTCAAGGTACGGACTACGGAACGGCGTCACAAAGCGGCTCTGACATGCGGTTTCCCTCCACCAGCTGTCTGAACACCGCCGGACAACCCACATGATGTCCGGACCGGACATATCGTCGGACATCACCGTTGCTGCGCTCCTCTCTATATCGGCGACTCAATACCGCTAAACCTAAAAAACTCCCATCGCTAACCTTCACCCCCGCCTGCTGGGCTGCTTTTTTTCCTTCGGGATTTGTCCAGGCCCCGTTCTCGCCGCCGCTTCCCAAGACACCATCATCCTCTTCCTCTCCCCCTCACCTGACCTTCCTTAGCACCTCGCGACCCCCGCCCTTACCGCCATGACCGCCGCCGAGTCGAACTGCACCTCCACCTCCCCCGACGCCAGTGCCACTGCCGCCTTGTTCACTCCCGGCTGGCTGAGCAGCGCGTTCTCGACGGCATTGGAGCAGGCGGCACATACCATACCTGTGACACGCATACGGAGGACCTGCAGGGGGGGAAGACGAACCACGAACGAGTGAAGCTGCTGCCAAGGAAAGAGTGTACAAGAAGCAGAACTGACCAGGAGGGGGACGGCACGTTGGCGTGCGGAAAAAGGGGGGATGTAAGGACCTAAGGAAAGTGGTAGACAGCCTGACCCGGGTTGGGCCACGGGAGGCGGAAAAGGACAGAAGGGAAGGAGGCAAAGAGGGAAGGGAGGACCCGTACAGCGTATGTGCGTGGCCCGTTATGTGCGTACCTACCTTGCCCTCGCACACCCATTCAGCCGTGTTCAGGGGTTTCCCAGATCTGGTTGCTTCGCACCCACCCTACCCGCCCCAGACCCTGATATCCGTCCCACCCCTAACCCCCAGAGAACCCCTAACGGCCTCAGAATACACGCTGCTATGCAACTCCCAGGCCCCCAGCCCCATATTTTCAATCCCCTACCCCTACTCCGGGGGCCTCTTCCTCCACCCCTACTGGTGGTTAACTTCTTACATATTCCTCTGATGCAGTATCCGGGTATTCCTGTGAGAGGTATCAGCTTCACTCGTCTGTGGTTTGTCTTTCTACCCCTACCCTGGGGCCCCTCACCTCCAGTTGCTGCTTGGGGTGTCGTACACTGACCAAGCCCCCCTCAAACCCTGCATCCTCCACAGCCGCCACCAGCTCCTGAGTGGACACACGAGACTCGTCGTAGTGAACCTGGGGAGGAGGATGGAAGGGGAGAGGGAAGGGGGGGGGGGAACGGTGGGAAGGAAGAGGAAAACTGGAGGGGAATACGCGAGGGTTTAGAGGGAGAGAGAGTTTAGGGTGTGGAAAGGCGGCGCGGAAAGGTATGAAAGGTCTAGATCGAGGAGAGGACCTCCGGCGCTAAGGACGCGGTCTGGGTGGCAGGTGGGTGTACGTCAGGAACACGGGATGCACCCGGGACGCCTCTTTGGCACAACCCCACCCCGAATCCAAACCCCCGGCCAGTCACCCGGCCAGCCAACAGGTCATCATTCTCTATCTGCCATGACAATGTGGGTGGTATATAATTGAAAGTGTAACTGAAAGCGCAACTTGGGTCACGGGCCGGAGAGGGGCCTGGGAGGCGGGGATCACGGGGATGTCCCAGGCGGGCTCAGAGTTGACCAGGGGGGTGGCGGGGTGGGGGGTAATGGAGACGGGTGGTCTCCACTCATTCACCGACCTGGGCCCCCCTCTCAACTGCCCGTCCTCAAAGGCGACAGCCTTCTTCTTGTGTGCGCCTCTCGCCCCTCCTCAGGGCAACTACCGCACAGAGGTGTGGCCATTTGTAAAGGTTGGCTGCTCCAGGGAAAGAAGCCTCCGGGGGCCCCACGGCGATCGCGGTCAACGTGGAAAGTCCGCTCCGGGTCTTCATTAGACATTTCTGTTATGCTGATGTCCCCTATCTCGGCGAGGTCACCCCCGCGTTCGCCTAGGGCCCCCTAAGCACCCCACACACCCACTGTCTGAGACTCCCCACCCCCACGCCCATGCAACCGCCCCCCCAATCCATCTACTGGAACTTACCTCCGCGCTCTCCTGCAGCAGCGCAACGCTGATCCGCTTGACGCCCTCCAAAGAACTGTCCTCGTTCCATTCCAGCCCGGCATTTTTACCATTTCATATTCAAGCATTCGCAAAACAGATGCGAGAGTCACAGCGTACAGCAGCAAAGGGACGAGTTGCGGCGGGTTCATGATTATGGTTGTTGATTCGAAGAACAGTCATGTGGCACTGGGTTAAGGTGCATAGGGATGCAAGTGCAGCGTGTGGAAAGGACGGTGAGCTGCTGGCCAAAACGACACGGAGCAGTAGGCCTGGACTGCGGTAAAGGAAAAAAGAGCCATTGCGGGCGTACATGCATGAAGGAGATGCAAGGAGCGGAAGGGCCTCGAGGGTTCTCTAGGAAGGGAGGGCCAAGATGCGGCGGCAGATGTGTCTCGGGAAAGGTGAACGGGATACCTTCTCGCCAACTGCTTACCCAACACGCCGCCCACCCTTATGGACTTCATCACGCCCCTCCAAAAGTTCCTAGGTACAAACTCGCCGGACTGCGCACTCGAGGCACCTTTAATCACTCCCCTACTCGTGGACAGCTTGCCTGAGAGCGGCCTCGACGGCTTTGGAGCACGCCGCGCAAGTCATGCCTTTGACGGACAGCTGCAGGACCAAGGAAAGTACGTTTTTTCAAGGAGATCGACCCGAGAAACCTGCGTTTCAAACGGGATGCGACGATGTAGGGGGGAAGGACAGCCCCAGCTCACCAGTGCGACCGGCCAGCATGCTCTTTCATCACCCTGTTGCCGGCGCTGCCCTGTCGAACTATGCCGCGGCTTAGAAGGCGGGCTCGGTTGACTTTCCCGGTCATCCTTCTCCTTCTCCGGTAATTTCTCATAACGCAGCGAGGAAAGAAGCTGACCAATTCGTTGCAACATATTTGAAAGGTTCCCAGCGCACCAAGCACTCTAATTTCAATGTTACAAGAAATTAAATACCATGTCCTTTATAGTAACCAGTCGTCGGACCGTCCCAGAATTGGAAAAGCTCGCCGTGCAGCATAGAAATAACTTGCTTCATGTATTATTAATTCTACGCTATGTTTCAGCTGTGTGTTGCCTCGAATGACCTGGCGTCATCCCTTGCTTGAGGCGACGTGACAGTTAATGGACGAAGCCCGTCGTACTCAGCGAAATAACGAGTGCAACCCATTACAAGGCAACGTTGTCTATGCCAGATCTTTCTATCGTATTGTTTTGGTCTTGTTTCTGCGCTCCCTTTGCTAAAGTCCAGATGTAAGCAAGGTGCGACCTGACAGACTCTGTTACGGTCATGTGAGCCTCCTACATGCAGATGAGCGCACCTGATGAGGCAGTTTGTGCCGCTTTACAGGCAGGCACGCCTATTCATGCCTATGTCTTGCCGCTGACCCGACCATGCTGTAACACTTTCGTTGACGATTTAATTGAGCCGTCTGCTGCTATCAATCCTCGCCCACAGCCTTTCCCCATCTACTAACCAAAGCTTAGCAACTTATTCCGTTGTTTTCCAATTCCACCTCATGACCAGTTTTCGGTGTGCTTTCAAGACGTATCTAAAAACCTATTCCGTCGTGAGCATGAGTGTGCAAGGCGTTTGGAACACCCGCACCTGTGGTTGCCTGCCTGCATACGATGCACGCGGGAACACCGCAAACATGCACAACCTCAATACAAATTACTCTTTTCTTTAGCTCCACCTCTGTACTGCGTTGAAATCCAAATTTCAAGATGCAATTACACACTGCTCAATCACCCCGTATTAGCGCTTCAACCGCCACTACCCAGGCTGCTGAAAGAACCACCATGCATGAAGATACCCCTTCTTCCCCTCCTGAACGTCGGCAGTCAACCCTCTGCTTCTTGCATATATGATTTTCTCCCCTTTCCTTCCCCCTTTTCCCTCTTACTTTCCCCGGCAAACAAAGGAAGCCGGTTTGCCACTGCTGCATCAGTCAAGGCCCGGTCACAGCTAAGCAGACCGTCAATTGCAGACCGGTAACCGCGGGGCCTTTATAGCGACACCTAGTAATACGGATTGGGCCCATCCTCGTCCCAGACTAGGCCTTCCGCACCGGGCCGAGTGGCCAATCCACCTCCTCCGCAACCTCTTTCTACAGAGGCCGGGTCGACCCATCGCCGCCCTGGCCACTACAGCCGCCGCCGTACTGCCGCCGCGTTGCTACAGCCATCACCGGGGCTCCCTCCGCCTGGATGCATCGACTGTCTCGGGTGGTGGTGGTGGTGGTAACACTCGCGGGCCGCGACAGCCGCCGCTACCCTTGCTGACGAGAGCGCTACAGCTCTCCCGCCCATCCGCCGCTGGGCGGAGGCAGCTCCCGCTCCTGACCCCCGCAATCCTCCTCCTCCTCCTAGGGGGCCACCCTCCGCTGCGTCCGAGGGGTAATATTGACGCTGGTGGTGGTGGTGGTGGTGGTGGTGGTGGTGGCGGTGGTGGTGGTGTCCGTCCTCGGTGTTTCAGTTCTCGGAGGCCACCTCTAGGTTCCCCTCTCCTGGGTCCTGGGCCTCACCCTGTTTCGCCAGGTCTCTGGATCGATCCCGGAAGCTCCTCGCGAGCCTATCCGCGTCAGTCCATGTCCGCCTGTGCTCTCCCGCAGCCAGCCGTCATGGCAGCGGCACCGGGCGGCGGTGAGGCAGCAGCGGAGGGGGGCCAGGGAGCTGCAGTGTCTGTGGCGGCGGCTGCAGCGGCAGCGGCGACAGGTGAGGCTACTGCGGCGGTTGTAGCAGCCGATGGGTTGCGATTGGGGCAGCCCATGGGCAGGAAGCGGGGTCGAGGGTCCCGCGATGGGGCTGACGCGGCGGCCATGGCGGCAGAGGTGGGAGCGGTGGCGGCCGGAACGCAGGGGGCTGAACGCAGTTTAGCGACAGCCGCACGGCCTTCACGCAGGGCTAAGGTCGCGGCGAGTGCCGCCATCAGCGCCGCTGTCAAGGCGGAGGGAAGCCGCGGGGCCGCGGGGAGCCAAGGGCTGGGGAGCAATTTGGCGGTGACGGCTGCGTCAGCGCCGGCACCCCGCAGCCGGCGTTCGGCAGCGGTGTCGCGGCGGGGTGGCGGGGAAACTGCGCGGGAGGCGGAGGCGGGGCCGTCACGCTCTGGTGGCGGTGGTGAAACAGTTAAGGACGCTTGCAGCGATGGTGACGGTGAAGGCATTCAAAATGTTGGCCAGGCGGCGACGGAACCCGTGTCGTACAAGGCCCGTCGCCGGAAAGCGACGGCGACGGTGGCGGTTGCGGCAGGATCCGCCGTCGCAGCGGATTCGGCGACGACTGCTGTGGAAGCAGCCGCTTCTCCGGGGGACCGACGGGGGAAGAAGGCGGCGGTCGCCGTCCCACGGGTCGGTGTCCTGCCGCCCGAGGAGGCCGCGGCGCTGCTCGGTCAGCCGCTGCTGGACCTGGGCGAGCTCGTGCCAGGTGCGGTGTGAAACCTCGCGCAGTACGGTACGACAGTCTATCATACATCATTGTAGACTGAGTGGGCAAGTGTCCAGGAGCGGACTGCAGCATTTTTCCCGCCGTCCATGAAAACCGCAACTTCCCCGCACGCACACGTCAACTTCTTGACGTACATGATGGTATGACACAGCTTAAGCTGCAAGGCATTGAGAAAAGTGCGCATAACGTGGAAACGCCCCAACAATGAAGCTGCTACAAAATAGCACAAAATAGCATTAACTTTATGCATTTGTGTATGTTTTGTTAGTGGGCACATGTGGACTATGTGTTGTGACCTCAGGCGTTCTCGTGCGTCGGCCATCGGCAACAGTCAAGACGCCGTACGTCGCAGATGTACGGCTGTTACAATCGCCTTCGGCGCTTGCCGTCTGCGATGGCAGCGCCAGCGCGGGCAGCATCGCTGGCGGCGGCGGCGACGGTCCGCTTGTGTTGGCCCACGCTCCCGCTCTGGACTGCGCGGGTATGGTTACCCCGGGTTACACTGTCTACCTGAGCGACTCCCGCGCGACGAGGAAGGAGGGCGCTCCATCAGCGACCACCTCACATGCCATTCAGGTTGCAGTACAGAGCAGTACGGGACCTCGGGGCCGGGGAAGAGGGGAAAGGGAGAGGAGCGGGTTTAGGTCTGGGGGATTCGGGGGTTTTAGGGTTTCACCTGGCGCGTCGGTCACGGCGCGAACGGATCCATGCACGGCGTGCGCATGGAGGGTGCTCCGTCTGGTTGCTAGCAGCCCGCGTGAGGTGGTGGGGTTACGTTAGGGTAATGGGTGGTGGGTACGGGAGTGAAGTCGCACAGCAGGGTCTAGGGGATTGAAGTGGTTTGCCGGATGACGCCTTGGACCCCGCGACCCCTCCATACTACTGAACTACAAAATCTGCCGAGACCCCATGTGAATCTTAGTTGCCCCGGGTCTTGCGGCCTGAAGGTAAGCGGTCCCCGCTCGCTCGTGCATTGACAACAACAGCAACAGCAACGTAACCAACAAGTTTGCGTTAGGTGCGCTACATTCTAAACTACCAACTGCCAACCACCAACCGTAACTGCCAATATCCCATTTTCTCCTCAGCTGGTGGAGGACCTCCGACCCGGGGGTCACGTAACCCTGGTGGGAAGCCACCCCCAGCTGGCGGAGAGGCTGGCGGCGGAAATGATACGACGGCGTTGCCTGGAAGAGGCGCTAGGGCCGTACGACAGTGTGGAGACCCAACGGACGTACGGCAACACACGTGTGGATTTTGTGCTGCGGATGGCAGATGGCAGCAGGTTGTGTGTTTGTGGGGGGGGAGGGATGAGGTGGACTGGGGGTTTAGACGGGTCCCGTGTAGGTTTTGGGGGGAGGGGCGCGCGGGGATGACAAATAAACACAGCAGACGATCATATGCGCGGAAGCCGGGCCTTATGTTAATTATTTTTTCATTCTGGCTCTCAATATATTTTATAGCAATCCTGATCAATCATCGGAACAGAAACAAGCGGGAAAGTAGTTCGTGCCTGAGAACGTGAAATGAATTGAGGACGCAAGAGCGCAAGGGAGCCAGCGGCGAAACGAAGGGAGATAATAATTGACAGATGGCTCCAGGGTGGGTTTAGGCGTTGTTAAGTGTTATTCTTGGGGCATGATGATATGGCCCTTGCAAAGGCCATATCGCTTTGGGGCAAACACGACACGACACGACGTGACCGTTTGCACGTGCGTGTGTGTTTTTCATGCTCCTCTGGCCCCATGCATGATTTCCTCCCCGCTCCGTCCGCCCGCGCTGGCCGGGTTGGTGCGGCGCCGTCGACCTCCGCGGTGATTGCGGCGGCTGCAACCCGTTTGCTACGGCGATGGTGCCAACGGCTTCTGCGATTGCGGCGGCTTCTGCTACAACAGCACTTTGCTTGAGGTTAAGAACGTGGTGTGCGCTGACTTCCCGGAGGGAGAGGTTCCTCCGGGGCGCCCGGCTGCGGGGGTGTACACGGCTCCCCCCGCCCCGGATGGCAGCGGCTATCGGCCCACTGCGCTGTTTCCACACGGCGCGCCGAAACCCAAAATCAAGGTGCGGTGGGGCCTTACCTGGCGGACGTCGCGTACCTTGGAGGAGGAGACGTTTGCTCTGCCGCGGCTGGTGCGGTCTCTTTTCCCTTAAACCTAGTGGTTATCTTGTAGGTGATGTTATACGGCACGTAAGGTCGTGCAAAGTGCTTGTTGGGGTGTTGGGCGCTTCATGGCCAGATGCAGCCCAAGGCAATGGAAACCCTGGAAACACCTGTGCGCTGGGGCTGGGGGGGGGGTATTTACAAGGCGCGTGCCGTGCAGCCGTACATACGCGTACATATACTCCTTTATCCCCTCTTCTCCACTCCCTCCTCTCAGGTGGTATCTGACCGCGCCATTAAGCACGTGTGGGAGCTTACTGAGCTGCACCGAGCTGGAGCAGCCGCTGCTGCTGCTGCTGCTGCTGCAAGTGCTACTGCCGCCTCCGGACCTGCTGTTGCTGCTACGAACGCCGGGCGCCGCAATGGACGCCAGAAAGCAGCAGTAGCAGCAGCAGATTCTGGAGCGCGCAAGGCAGAGGCGGCAGCGGCTAGAGCAGCAACAGCAGAAGAAGTAGAATCAGCAGCAGCATACGAGGGCAGTGGGTGCAGTGCCCGCCGCGGTGTGAATGCCGATGGCAGCGGGTCCCCAGCTGGGGATGCATCCTCCCCGCGCGCGGGTCTTCGCGCCGCTGTGCTGTTCATTGTCAACCGATGCGATTGCGAGGCCTTCCGGCCCTGTCACGAGGCTGACCCGCTGTTTGCGCAGGTGCTCAAGGCAGCGCATGAAGCGGGTGGGTGGAAAAAAGGGTTGACCGGGCGATAGGTAAAGGTAATAATGAGGGTAGATTGCGGGAGTGGTAGAGGGAGTGGTGGAGTCATAGTGATGGGGTTGGGACGGATGGTTTATGGGGGTGGCCTTTGCGTGTGCCTAGTTGGTGTTAGGACCGAGGTCAGTCCAGTGCCTTTCCTGCACTGACTTCATCTCGGTCTCCCGTAGGGCCCTCAGGGCGCGGATTGTTCGTATATTGAGACAACCTACGTGAGGGCATACTCGCAGGCGTTATACTCCTGGCGTACGACGTTGTGTGGAGCCTGAACGGGCAGGCGCTGCCTGGAAAGCGGCTGCCGGTGGTGTTCGCGCCGGGGGTTAGTGCCGAGTACGACAACGACCGGCTTGCCGAGGTGCTGCACTACAACGCCACCGAGCCACGCAAGAAGTGGAAGTCAACTAAGACCAAGTCCACGCAAGGTGGCGATGCCAAGGGTAGGGCTGATTGCAGCAACAAGGGCAGGAAAAGTGGTGCAGACTGAGGAGCAGGTGGGTTGTGAACAGATGTGGGAGGATCTGGTGACGAGGAGGCGGGAGTAGCCCAGTTGGGAAGTCTTAAGGGTGGACCTATGGAAGTCCTTAAGTTCTGAATGGGCCGTAGGGATATGCATCTGCATGTGTGCGCGCACACGCGTGTTGAGTGAGCCCAGCGGGGTGCGTACAATGCGAACCCAAATACGATTACAAGCAAACCGAATGATGTGCTTGCTATCCGTCTGTTACACCTCGAGTTGCTGAGAGGTGTGACGGGCCCTTGTGAGCCGGGGACCCAAGGGCCAGCCGACTTAACTCATTATACATTAAGGCTATATGCAACGGTCTTCTCGTTGCACCAGCAGTGTAAGCGGGATATGGTGCTCCAGCCGGGGCATTGGTTCAAAGCTGCGTTGTAGATATTGCTTACAGTCCCAGCTGATGGGTACGGCAGTGTTTTAATGATACGATTTGAGACTGGGATCGTGGCCCATTTATGTATGATGCTCATGGTTGTCATAATGGTCGAGGTAAGTTGCTCGTCACATGCCCCATGCGTAACCACGGAACGCGTGTTTTATACGTGTTCTCTTTGCTTTGTATGGAAATTAGAAGGTCGCAGCTGGGGGCCCTTATTAGGTTCGGGGAAGTGACATGAGGCGATGGTGTGTAGCATGAACAATAATAATGTGGTGTCCCGCCTTGTGTAGGGTGGGACTGGAAAGACGTCGAGAAGGAATGTATGATGTGTGAAACAGGGGGGTGTATCTTCGCCCGTGGCAGCTACCCTGCGAAACCCTGCCTTCCCCGGTATTTCGGGGCACCCTCATCCAGTCACCCTAGTCAACTTCTCAGTGGATCGCTCAGATTCCGCACCCACCACCAGCATCCAACGGAATCTGCCGGGTCGACAGCGGCCCAACTCCGTTCCTGGTCGGCTCGCAGGTTAACTTTATCCCAGGTCACCACCGTCCATCAACTAGGGGCGCAATGCCTTCCACCATCGGAAGAACTTTTGACCCTAATGGGTATCGATCCCGGGATCTCCCGGGGGCAATGATCGCGCCTTACCAGTGGTGCCAAACCCTTGTATATGGATGTATGTTGTCCTATGAAACGCGTACGGGAAGGGCACAAGCGCTGCCCGTTAAATAAGTCAGGCCCACCACGCTTGCTAAAAAACATAATACATATGAAGCCATTCGAGGTGTCCTTCTCCAGCTCCTCCAAGCCAGCGCCACCGTCGCCATCACTGCGCAATGCGGACTGCACAGAACACAGGTACATGCCCGATACACCTTCCCCGCCTATGCTCTTCAGCACTCGTTGCGATGCACAGTACTGCCAAACACAACGCCCAGCCGTTGCAGTGCAGCGTAGCGCACAAACTTCAGCAGCCGACCGGCCACCACCTCACCACCTTTCCGCCCGAGTGGGATTTTACAGTGCATTCGACCTACTATCGAAACTGCTTGGACAAGCTGATACTACGAAACACGCATCGCCACCTCCTCTGTCATCCTCTTGCCCTGCGACATGCCTATCCGCTATGTCGCTAGCAGCGACAGCCGCAAGTCATAGGCCGAAGCTCCACCATCCTATGGATAATCGCCACCTCCTACCCTTCCCCTACACGAGACGTTGCACCAAACGAGTCCCGGAGAGAGCATGCGAGAAGACATGGCTTTCCTACCCATCCGCCTATCCATCCCTCCGTCGTCCAATCTGGCCGGCATGATGGATGATGATGGCCTTGGAAGCAAACGATCACTGCCGATCACATCCAGTGCGCGGAGTGGGACACGCAACGGCAGCAGTGCAACTTCCACACCCGCAGCAGTGGTAAGCCCCACCAGAGACATGAAACCCCGCCTGCACGGTACAAGGCGATGCCCTGTGTCGTGCTACCACCTCTCCTTTCGCCCAGGTGAAACCCGCCTTCTGGTACTCCCCTCCTCCCCCCCGCACTCTGCTCGCTGCCTCCAATTAGAAACCGCTTCAAACCGACAAGCCCCGAGAAGGGCCAGATAGCTGAGACCAGATACCCTCATGGGTAGAAGGTGGGTTCCGTCCAAAGACGAGCGGCCCAAGTCTGTCGTCCCACCCTCTTTATCCAGCCACCAGTTTCCAAGGTTATTGAAGGTCTCCACCCACGCCTACCAGTTGCCGCCAAAGAAAAACACGTCTCGCTCTCCCACTTAAGTATCAGGTTCAACCACACCACCTATGCCAAATACTTTTCACAGAACGCTCTTGACCGCCTTGATGATATCATCCACTTGGGGGAGAGCTGCGGCCTCCAGGTTGGCCGCGTACGGCATGGGCACCTCGGCACCTGCGGAGTGTTGCGGAGATAAGGGGTAGCCACGAGTGTGTGGGCCATGACAACCCAACGCGAACCAGCTGCATAACAAAGATCCTAAACCCAGGCACACAGCGATGCCTGTAGTCCCATAATAAACGTCCGATTATCCCGGCATGAGTGAAGGACGGTACGCATTGGAAGCTCAAGGTCTGGGCGGGGAAATCAGTTCCGGACGGCATCCAAAGTTTGGCGGGCCGACCGGGGCGTTCCTTACCCAACCTACCTTGCCGTGGCCAGCTCCATCAACGTAAGCCGTGTTCCCACCCAATACGCACACGCATGCATACTACATTCCGACATCGGCGATGTTCCCTTCCAGCACATGCGTACACACACCTTTACGTGGCCTACTGGTAATGTTGCGTAACTCCGGCCCCCACCACACACGCACCTGTGACTCGCAGCACGGGTGCATCCAGCTCATCAAACGCCAGCTCCTGCATCAGCGCAGCGATTTCCGAGCCTACACCGCATTGCGGCCAGCCCTCCTCCACTGTCACCATGCGGTGGGTCTTCTTCAAAGAGGCCACCAAGGTGTCCTTGTCCAGGGGCTTGATGGAGCGCAGGTTGATCACCTGGCGGGTGAGTTCAGGGAGACAGAGGGGGTACAGGAAGCGGGAAGAGGAGCGTGCATGCGTTTATTCTTACGACATGGGTAATGACCATGGGTAATGGCATTAAAAGCGACATCACTCATGTCGCATGTCAACAAATGGAGCTGTGGGCAAAGAGAGACAGGCTGATGTGGCGAACCCATGGTGAAGGCCATGTCCGTGCATATGGCGAGGCAGATCAAGAAAAAACAGGAAAACACAAACAATCGCAGACATTCTGGGAATCAGGCCGTAGCCAGGTGATAAGGGTGGGTGACTCAAAATTTCGATTGCGGCGGTGGTTGCCTTGAGGTGGCCCGTCCCTAACTTTAAACCTTTCGAGCCCCATCCCTCTTCCACCTCCCTATTCCTCTTCCCCGCTGAATCCCTCTCCTCCTCTCACCTCGCAATGCACCCCTTCCTTGGACAAGTGGTCCGCCGCCTTGAGGCAGTAGCCCACCATCTTGGAGAAGGACACCAACGTCACGTGCTTGCCCTCCCGCATCACCTTGGCCTTGCCAATGGGCAACGTGAAGTCCTTGTCGAGAATCTAAAGGATCGCAGAAGAGGGTGGACGGGGCCAAAAAAGGAAATGGGCAGTGCTGGGGAGGGCAAAAACGTGAACATCAGAAGGGACACTTGCAGTTGTCATATCGCGGCCGCTGATGCCCCGGGCTGAGCATTTTCCCGGCGTGCAGGGTGCAACCCCTTGGAAACCACGCTACCATCACCGCTGCAGGAGGCAACCAGGCAATCAGGCCGCAACCATCCCTCCACTGGTAAAAGTTGTTTGTTGCTGCTGGCGCGCTGGTGGGCAAAGCATTGCAAGTGCAACTCTGCATCCCGCAAAGCGTGGATTATTAGCTAATCCTTCCCTCTCCAGATCGGTTGTCGCTGGGACCCTCGTATGCTGTTAACTGATTCCGATGTCACACAAGTAAAAGAGGAGCCTGACGGTGGAAGATCTGTCCACGGCCCCTCGTCGTACCCCTGCCTGCCATTGTCCCCAGAACAGCAGACTTCGAGCGAGTCCCTTCCTGGTCTCGCAGCTTGGACCAGCCGGTCACGCCGTGCCTAGGCCTAGTTGAACCTCCGCTCCTTCCAGCGAATGGACCAGGGAAGGCAAGGTAGATGGAGCATGAAGCGTTTTCCGCCTCCGGCGGCAACTGCCCGCCACCACTGCGTACGCGTTAAAGATTGTTGTACCGGTAGCAGTTCCCGCGCTGCCATCTCTTGTACGGCTGCTTCACCATCCTTTGTTCTGTTATTGTTGCTGCAGTAACCCTTGCCATTATGTTCAAACGTCACCGTTGCCGTCGTTGCTGTTCCCGGTGCGATCACTTGCATTCAGGAACTATATACATCCCCACCATGATGAGAACCAAAGAACGAGCTTCCGCCAGTCCCCTGCATCCGTATCAAACCCTATCCGGCCCTAATATCAACCCCTATCCACCTAATTACCGTTACTGCACACTGTAACCACCTTGGGCCATTCCCACTAGCCCAACTGCCCTCAGTTTCCAGGAGGTTAATGACCCAGCGCCGCGCCCATCCTTCAGCCGGACCCTGACCCACCTGTGCGTTCACAGGGAAGGCCTGGCCATACATAATCTCATTCTCCAGGAACACAACCGGGTCTGGGTCCCGAATGGCCGCCTTCAGCAACCCACGAGCGTCCTCAGAGTCGTACGGCGCCAGGACCTGCCCGTACAAGCCGTAGAGAGTACATACGTGCGCTAACGTCGTCATAAGAACAACCCAGTTGCTAAGATTAACGCGGCTCTGATGGACACACAGTAGCATGCGCGGATGCCCGTTCACCTATTTACGGCTTTGGTGTAGTCCATTGAGCCGGAGTGGATCTTAAAATTGTGCAAACAGCGCCTTGTGCGCCTCCCTCCCTCACGCCAGCCAGTAATCATTGGAAAGAACGTAATGGTCACCTGAACAGACAGCCGTTGTCTGCCCAAGTTTGGCCTCGGCGCAGCTGCATTGCTGGGTAGTCGTTTAATAAGTGCTGAGCCCACACGCGGCTGCCGACAGGTGCTGCATCCCTTCCCAATCCTAATCCGTGCTTACTGGCTGGTGCTTCCTGTGGCGATGGTGTTCAGGCGTGCACGGGGTTCTTACCTTAAGGCCCGGGACTGAGCTGTACCAGGAGGCGAAGCACTGCGAGTGCTGTGCGGCCACGCCCGCCGCAGCGCCGTTTGGACCACGGAACACGATGGGACAGCTGATCTGACCCGCCGACATGTAGAGCGTCTTTGCGGCTGAGTTAATGATCTGGTCGATGGCTTGCATGGCGAAGTTCCAAGTCATGAACTCGCACACGGGTTTGAGTCCCGCGAAAGCAGAGCCGACGGCGATACCCGTGAAGCCAGCCTGACGGCATTCCGGGGGGTACACGCCAAGTCTGTTGGTGGTGGTATTAAAGCTTACGCCACCTGCCTGTCGGGCCTACCTCGGTAATTGGCGTGTCCTTTACCCTATCCGGGCCATACTTTTGCAGTAGCCCTCTGGTAATCTGCAAACGGTATCATAAAGCTCGTCAGTTGTACAGTTCCGGTCTCGAGCAGTCGCACACGTGTTCAAAGAGGGCTCACCTTGTATGCGCCTTGGTACTCGCCAACCTAAAAATGAAACAATGTAAATAAATAAAATTCAAGTCATGGTAACAGCCGCATGCATTCATACCTCTTCACCAAGAATGTAGACCTTGTCGTCACGAGCCAGCTCCTCATCAAGCGCCGAGTTCAGCGCGTCACGCACCGTCATCTGAGAACAAGATCAACATATTACACCATGTCCAACTGCGTCGAGAGCTTTACATGAACGCACCTCGCTTTGCGCGCTAGCGAACCCACGGACAGCCGCAGTGAGTCGCGGCAGGCGCTGCAGGCACATATGGAGATGTAAGACCATGCCCCAAAATAAGTGTGTGCTGCTTTGGTTAAAACTTACAAAGAGAACCCCATGGTTGCGAGCTTGTTGTAGGAGACCGGGCAGCATTTTCGGGCTGATCGTGAAGGCCCGCGCGTGCTGCTCGTTGATCACGCAGAACCAAAACGTCAGCGAGACTGTATATACTGTCCTACAGCTAAGGAATAAGCTTGTTCCGTCAACGTGGACCTGCCCATTCCCCGGAAGTATTGCCGTACACGTCTTTGGCAGTAACATTTATGCGCAATTTCCTCAGGTCAGCTACAAAACGAAGACTCTGAGACTTGCGTGCCCATGTTAATTATAATTGTTATGATGTTCTGACACAAGCACTCACCAAAGGTTGTCACGCGCTATCTACAAGCCAATTAGCTACCGGCACTTCTTCGAGACGCGAGACGGAGCTGTAACAAGCTCTGCTGCTGGAATACGGGGCACGCCATTCCTATGGCGCTCTGACCAATTGCGGAGCGGGCCCCATGTCCCTCGAATGGGATTATGTATGCAAATTTGCAGGTCCTCAACGCGGCATAATGCCGGGGAAAGCTGGGTGTGAAAAGCAGAGCCTTTGAGGAGGGGCCAAGCGTATGTTTTAGCTGAGTTTGTCGCAGCACCCTCGTGCACACAAGCGGAAGCATTGTTGTACAAGCCGAAGCCCATAAGCCGTAACGCTCTTTCCCCCACATGCGCTGCCACGCATCTTCTTGTCCTGGCCTTGGTACTCCGCTGGCTCTAGCTACAATTTTTTCCCTTGAAGGCCGCAGCCGAGATACGGGTTTCGGGGCACACACCCACGCATCAGGTTCCCTGCTCCCTTCACAATCCTACTGTGCATGCCACTCCTTTGCCAAATCCGTTATTCTTTTATTGAACACACCGGCCGACACTGCTCCGTGGGCAGGGCTGCAGGTCACGTACACCCGGCACCCCTCCACATGCGCAATGCACGTTTGAGAAATGGTCGAACCTGCCTGGAATACCTCACGTACGCTTGGGTGATGTGGACGATACTCCTTTGCACCATCTCGCAGTCGTCTAATTCCGCGCCATGAGCCAATCAGCAAAAATCCACCTTCGGGCTTCCACAGAGAAACGTTGGATGACGGGCCGCAAGCCTAGGGATTTGGGTTCACCTCGCCATACCAAACACATGCTACACGCAACCGTCGACGGCATGAAATCCATGACACGTGCGCACCATTCGGTTACAGCGGTAACAGCAGGGGCTCTTAAAGCACCACCACCAGCCAGATGAGTCATTTCTTCATTTGATTACTCTCACCACCCCACTCGGAGGGGTGACACGGGTCCTGAGTTGTGCCTCCTTTTTAAACCTCTCCCTCACAACCTAAGAGGCGGGAGGAGGACGGAAGCAGCCGCCAGCACTCCTTGAAGTACCAGCAGGAAAGAAGTACCAGCAGAGGAAAGAAATACACACCACACACGAACAGCTCCGAATCCCGGCAGGAGAGCGCACGCCACTTGGCTCTGGTGACCTGCCCGGCCACCCCCCCAGAAACAGCAGTTTCTACTCGGCCTTCCACAATAACTACAGATGCTAGGAATCGGACTTCATAGGAGGTAATATGATGACATGCTATGACCGCGCAGCAGCTGCTTCATTCCGCCTTCCCCCCTTCGCCAGGCCGCAGTCGTGTCGCTCAATGCCCCCATGGCGCTCAACAAAAAAGACCGAATAGTGGCATGTAAAGCAGCAGGCAGGGACCGGTCCGTCGTGGGAAATCTTGTGGCGCTGCCGGAAAACCCGCATAACACTCTCACCGGTCGCCATCCGTTGCTTGCATATGCATAGGTATATGCTTAGGTACTAGGCTAGCATAGGTACCTGTGTCCTCATCTATGCATTTCACAGTTATACATGTCATTGATCTAATTGCGATGGAGGGAAACCCCGGAAGGACACAGACAGCAGTGCCGCGGGAGCTGGCATGGGCAGACGAGCATGATAAACCGTATGGGGGCCCCGATGGGACAGGGTGGCGAGGTGGATCGGGAAGACGGAGTAATACACAAATATATACGCACACACACAGCCGCATTGCAAACCCCGCTTTCGAAATCAGCCGCATGCGTCTAATGATCGATATGACGGTTGTTTTTCAGCTGGTTAAAGCCCACGTGCGTGTTGCACAGGCAGGGCATGTTGCAAGTGCGCAGATTACGCAATCGCCACCCTCTGCTTTTACTTGGGTAAGTGTTACCCTCCCCCACGTGGTCGTACATTGCCATCATCTCCCACCTGCAAGCCCTCCTCCGCATCACTAGCCACAGAAAACACGACACGACCGTCCGGGCACCGTGCAGACCAACCACCACCACCACCACCAAACGTCACAATCACCGCTATCACATTATCTTCGATGTTCTGGCTCCGCCCCCAACCGATCAAGAATTAAGTTGCAGCCAGCAAATAGGTATCGAATTCCGTCCCCGCTGCGTAATTGTTTACGGACAAAGATGCTACATGACTGGCACACAGGCACATACATGTGCATGCCGCGTTTCTGACACACGCTCACAAACAAGCACAATACAACAAGCGATACTCCTATGTACTAAGGCATAATCTTGAGACACAGCCACCTCCCAGGACTTTCAAACGGGAGGTCTCAGCGGAGGAGTGCGGGTGCTGTGGTGGGTACCATAATTTCCACAGGGCCCACACTGCGCCATGTGCGCATCGCGGAATCACACCCTCGTTACGTCACCATCAACAACACCAGCACCAGTAATACATTCCCAAACTGCAAAACAACACGCACCGAGCAGAGACACGTGTTGTGGCACCTTCCGTTGCCATCTGCGCTTTGTGCCCTTGCCGGCAGCGCCCTCATACATGAGCATACATTTAAAAGCGTGCATGCATACATATTTATATGCCCGCGCACATTGGGCGTCACACACATACACACATATCGTACACACACGGAATACTAGCACCCCAGCGGTAGTCAGTGGTGGTCGCCAGTAACTATCGCGACGCAGCGACCCGATACCGATATACTCATTGAACGCCAAAAGTCTCTAGCAAAGTCTCTTGCCTCCTTCGCTCCTCCTCTGCTCGCCGACAAACTCACGACCGGACGTCTGCTTCCATATCATTTTAACGTCTCACAAACTGACAACTAACACCGTCATTGCGGACTGCGTCCGTCCAAGTCAAGACTCTCAGAGGACCGCCGGCGGCGTGCCGTACAAGCTGTACCTAATCGACGCGAATACACACACTTCGCTCCGCAACCCACTTAACCGCATAAATGCGAACATACATACATAAATGGACACAAACGCTGTTTCTTAGCCAGTCAGCCAGCCAGGTAGGTAAGTAGATAGATACAGATATGCTTGCGGTCAATGACAGAAATTCGGTACGGCATTTCTCAGCGCACATCTTCGTACCACACGCACCCCCCCACGGGGCGGGGGGAGGTTCGGGAGGCGTGTCAGCTCCCTCAGTCCCCCCAAACTCTCAGACCCTCAGGCCGCCACTTCAAACCCCCAATACCCTGACACCCAGCCGAAAGCAGTTGGACAACAATCCCCCTAAGGTAATCCCTCCTTTAGGTGAGCGCCTTCCAACTAAACGTAGCTGAGTGGTGCCCAATAGCAACACCACATCTCAGTGACCCACTACCGTAAGACCGTACCGGGCATCCTTGCCATACATGGCGGCTGGTGCCCCATGATCGTATATATGCCGTGCGGGCATCCAATAGTGACAATTAGTGCAGACACGCAGATAATTCATGAACATCATCCGCACACTGCGTGACGTTTACCAGGCCCTATCATACCCGTTGCGACATCAGGCGGTGTGATGCTGATGCTGACGCCGGGGGGAAAGGGACAATAGAGAAAAGTTACTTAAGGATAACTACATGTTTTGTTGCCAATGAACTAAGCAAACCAGGAATGCAGATATCAGCAGGGGCCGACGGCTGGATGCGCACAGCCGACCATGAAAACATACTCAAAGATCTCACAATTTACGATATGCCTCTCACCTCACCGCAGTTGAAAATGAGGCACTTCATCACAGTGGAATCGCCTCTTAAGGAGTTGGGAGTTTGCTTGTTGCGGAAATGCCCGCATACAAACAATCCAACACTGTTCCGCCCAACCAACCGGCCGCGGTATCCGGGCCGCGGGTCCTGTTGTCGCTGCTGCAACGGCGGTCACCCCAACAAGGCACCCTGGACCAAACGCAGTGGCGCAGCCATGGCCAATGGGATCCGGTCGAATCACTCCGGGGAGCCGGGTTCTTGTGTTACCCCTACCCCCCGGGCTCCCGGGGGAGCGGCGAGAGGCCAGCCTGCTGCCAAGCACAGCTCAGTAATGGCGCGGCCTTTCAAGGATGTGCCCGGGTGGATGCCCAGCAGTAAAGCAGGATTGTAAAACCTTAATACCGCGGCAGGTTACCTAACAAGCTCACGTCGGAAAGCAATACCAGCAAATAGCACGGCAACAACAGCAGCAATAGCAGCAGATGAAGTAGTGCAACATGAAGCTTTTCCTTGAAAAGCAGTACCGAGAAGCCAGGAAAAACGACAAGAAATCGCAAATGAACATTCTGGTTTCAATCCCTCTGGTTTTCACTATAGTGACGAGGTGTCATGAAGTACAACCCAACAACAAGACGTACGCAGATACATACATATGTATGATGCAGCCGCATTTCTCCGTACAGACAAGCACACACACGCACACACACCACAACAACAAACAACATCAGCTGGCGACGACACACTCTTATGTGTCATGTCTGTACACACCTGCAACAGCAACAGCAACAGCAACCCACCACGCATCCATTCTCTCATAATAGTGCTCAACGCTGCAGCCCACTATAAAAAGCCGCGAGGGATCTCCTCTCTCGCCCGATGGGGAATGGCGCGCTCCGCCCAATGTCAGACCTGGCAGCGCGCCTCCCCGCACGTCCCAACCTCCCGCGCGTCCCCAAATCAGACCGGATCGCATCAGGTAATCAGTCAGATCGCAGCTGGTCAGACGAAGAATGCCATGGGGTCCGAAAAGCAGCCTCCGCCACCACCGAACCTGCCGAAATCGTACGACGACGTTGATGGTATGTAGCTGCATGTGGTGGTGGCCTGTAGCGGCTGGAAGAGTGCCATGATGGGTTGCTGTTGTTGCTGCTGTTGGTGATTGAGCAGGTAGCCGGCGCAGCTCCCCTCCCCAGCCAAATCCAGCTGGAAGGGCATGGCCATGTTTAAATCTGCTGCCTGTGGTCCGGCGGGCGAATGCGTTTGTGTCACAAGTGACATGGGATGGGCTGGGGTAGGGATAGGACGGAAATGGTCCGGGAGGCGGGCCGGGAAAGGTGCTCCTCATCACCTTTCACCCAAATCCATAACATGCCATCCGACATGTTAAAACACACAACTCAACCCAGGGTAGCCCCGGGCCCGGTCGCCCACACAGGAGGTATGTCCTTGCGGGTACATAACGAGGGAGGCGGGGGCAGAGGGAGAGGGAGAGAGGAGAGAGGAGAACCTGCAGAGAACCTGCAATCTAGTGTTGTATCATACATGTATAGACATTGCGGACCACCCATTGCCTTATTTTAAATGTGCTCACCGGCCCACCGGCCCAGGGCGACTCGCCGAGCAACACGGAGCGGATGTGCAGCTGCTGCTGCTGCTGCTCCTGGGTTGCAAACAGCAATTGCTGTTGCTGCTGCTGTTGAGGTAGTGGCGGTGCCAGCATTCCGCGATGCCTTCTTTGCGCCGTGGTCAGCTGCGGCAGGGGGGACGAGGACCACTTCGAGAATGCGGCTGGGAGGCTCAGCGACGCCTTGCAACCATCGCACGCCATAGATATACGTCCGTACATATATACTATCCCAAAACGGATCAAACGGGATGGCAGCCTACATCAAAACGCAGATCTAGGGTTGCAGTGTCTGTTTGTCTGTCTGTACGTTAGTCGCATACGTCTCTGCATGCATGTGGGTACGTGTGCATGTGCATGCTTGAAACGTCACAACCTTCATGGGTGTGTATGTGTATGTGTATGTGTACAAAGGAAAGGACGCGACCTTTTAGCGACGCGGCGATATCCTTTCGGCCGTCATGTAAACATAATGGCCGGCCATTGTCTCCTAACCTTCGCTGCTGGGTTGCCTGACACGGAAATGGCTTACTATATGTGGAGAGCATCTAATGGCCATGGGGCTGCCGACCCCCAGCAGCCGGCACGGAAACCGGCCCAATCCATAAGCCTATCCACCCACCCCGCCGCCCATTCACCTAATACCGGTACGCACCTCCGAGGATGGTAGCAGAGTGATGGGCTGTAGCTGCAGCGGCATCTGGGTGAGGTGGCATGAAGTAGCTGCTGCAGCAGTAGCAAGGGGTGCAGCGGGCACCTGGGGCGAGCAGGAGGAGGCCCAGGACGGCAGCCCCGAGCAGCCGCCGCTGAGTGCAGAGGAGGGCGCGCCGCTGTAGCAGGAGGACGACGACGAGGACGATGTATTGACCAGACGCAGCCCTGATTGTGCGGCTAGAGCCTGCTGCTGCTGCTCAATATGCTGCAGTTGCTGTTGCTGCTGTTGCTGCAGTAGCACTTGCTGCTGTAGCAATTGTTGTGACTGCTGCAGTTGTGGAAGTTGCTGCTGCTGCAACAGGGCGTCCGCCCAGCCTTCCGGCGTGTCGAACACGTCCTCGTTCTGCATGGTCGTCTCAAGGCTCTCCATAATGGACTGCCACTCCAAATCGTCCTCCGGAGGCGAATCCAACAACGTGGGCATGGATGCGACCGGCTGAAGGCCCTCCGCCGTCTGCACCTGATGCGACAGCAGTAATTGTTGCTGCAGAGGCTGCGCTGCCCCAGAAGGCAACGCAACGTATGAGCCCAGGAGGCTGCTACTGCCGCCGCCACTATCCCCCAACGGGGCCAATAGCGGCACGGACGGGGAGCGCGCGCTGCATCTATCGGTGGACGCGGAAGCAGCGATTTCGGCTTTAAACCCGACCCCAGCCACCGAAGAAAAGCGCACCGCCGCCAGGCAGCCCGCCGAAGGCGCAGTCATGACCAGATCCACGGAACGTATGGGGTACGGCGGCGCCCCGGCGGCGGACGCCGTAACCGCCGGTGTGGTAGCGGTGGCTAATAACTGACAGGGGGCGGGCAGACTGGGCAGCTCCAGCGGCGATGCAGACGTGGACGTCTGGCGCGCGAGCGGCTGCCCAGTAGTGGTCATGGTCGCGGTACATACTGAAGAGGTGCGGACCCGCTTGCTGGCGGGCGGGAACAGATCCAAATCCAGGCGATTGAGACAATCGGCTGGTGCCGTCCGCGGGGAGGAGGCTTGCGCACTACTTGGCTGCTGGTGCTGCTGCTTGGGATGAGGATTAGGCGGAGTAGGATGGTGGGAAAGAGGGGGACTTGGTGCACCAGTAGATTGGAGCCGGGTCGCTGCCGGCGCCGCGGGTGCCGCTGCGGAGCAACATTGCGCCAGGTGTGGATGTGGGTGGGCCTCGTCGACGGCGGGGTGGACCTCCCCAACCATAGCTGTAACACTACCACTACTACCAGCAGCAGAAGGCATGTGGTCACATAGCGCTGCCGCCGTCGCCACAGCAGCAGCAGCAACTGGAAGCGCTGCGGCCGAAGCCGCGGCTGCTGCAGCTGCAGGCACCGCCGGCACTGGCGAGCATGACGGCGACAGCGACAGGCCCCCCTCCAGTGTCCCCTGGGACGTGGGCGGAAGGGGCTTCCCATCGTCCTCCGTCTCCACCACCACCTCGTTCTCCTCCTCATTCTCCTCCGTGGAGTCCGCCCATTTGCGTGTGCAGGCTGCACGGTGGGCAGCCCGCGCAAGAGTCGCCCGGCGGCCATGCGGCTGCTGCTGTTGGCGGCCGTCGTGATTGTTATGATGACCACCCGTGGACAAAGAGCGGCTCAGCGGGGCGTGCTTCGTCTCCGCTACAGCAGCGCCGCGCCGCGCCACGTTGCTGCGCCGCGCTGTCATCACCGCCGACAGCGACGGAAGCTGCGGTTCCTCCCCCACGGCCTGCTCCGCGGTCGGATGGTGGTCGCCATTGCTCTCTACTCCCTGTCCCTCTCCATTCGCCTCCACGGCCTCCTCTTCCTCAGCTCGCTCGTCCTCGTCCTCCTCTGCCTCTAAGTGGTCGTGGTGCACGTCGTCCTCTTCCGAACCGGTGCAGATGTTGGTGCCCGACAGCGCAAAGCCCTCCCCGGATCCCTCGTTAAGGCTGCTGCTGTACTCCGCAGCCTCACGGGCCGCCTCGGGGTCGGCCATAAGCGGCTCCAATTCGGGATAATTGTCCACGAACCTGCAACACAGGAAGAGGATAGAGGAAGGAGGTTGACGAGAAGGGAAAGTAGGGACCGGGGGAACGGAGGGACTGCGTGGACCGGGACCGGGAAGGTGGTGGTGGAGATGGATGGACAATGCGTGGGAATGGAGGTGGTGCTTAAGGCAGTTGTACGGAGAGCTTCGGAGCATAGGTGGGCGGATCGGAGGGGAACGGGGCTGGTACGGCACGCCGGCATATTATGGGCATGAGAGGGTTGAATTGCGCGTTCGGCTTGCAGGAGTCTTTACTTCCTTTCTCGCGCCGGACTGCGCTTACTTGTTGTTAAGTGTTCCGCCGGTGTGCTTGCGCCTCAGCGTCGAGTTCCATCGGTTCTTGACTGCGGAGCAAAATATATATATTCTTGGTGGATTTAAGAAGTATCAATTATGCGCCCGAGCTACCTCGCTGTGCTCAGGGTCAGGAAGTCATCTCGACAGCTGACCAAATTAGGACTCACCCGCATTATCAGTTCTTCCTGGAAGAAGCTTGGCAATAACTGCACATGACAGAATACATGTGTGAGCGTTACACGGATGACGTTACCCCGTCTGAACGGGACGCTTGCACGGCGGGCGGCACAACTACGATCACTGAACAAGTGACTAACCTGACCATTTGTTGCCATACTTCTCATGTGACTGCAAAATGAAAGCAAGGAATGTCCTTAAACGCTCCAAAAGGTGCCTAGCGTGAAACTTATAACGACAACGCCTTCGAAACTCGCAATTGAAGCCTTACCCGCACGATGACAGCGTCTTCAAATTCACTGAAAGGACCTTTTTTAACTTGTGGGCTCAAATGGTTCCACCACCTGCAGGAACAACTTTGAGGGGTCACTGCGTTCAGGGGCTCCAGCGGCCCGTCGAGTCTCATCTCGCACCTGAGCCTGCAGGACTTCCCCGAGCGCCCAGGGATTGACTCAGCAATAGTGCTCCAGCGTTGAGCACCACAATTTGTAACTAGTTCCGTAAGCTGTTTATCCTCCTGCACGAGGTGCCCGAGCCGGCCATGCCAGTCAAAGGTAGCCTTCCACAAGATAGATTGCAGGGCCACAAAATTGGTAAACGTATGCAGAATAAAACAAAAACTAGAGTAAGGTATAAGGCTATACGGGCTTCCATGGAGGTGGGCAACTTGTAGCACGGAAGAAGCAGTGAGGGTCCGTGTGATACCGAATTTCCGACCCATTCTTACCAATGCACGCTGTTGCATCAATGAACAACCCACCTCTGGTGTCCAGGGGCCACGTTTCTCGCCCTCCCCAATGTCATCCTCTCTAAAGCTGGATTGACGTTTTGCAGACGCCCTAGGCCGCGCAGGACGCCCACTCTCCGCAGCCTTTCGGCCAGTCATCTTGTACAGAGAATTATTCAAAGACGCAGAAAGAAAATTCGGGTGTTGTGCCTTATGCTGTTGTCTGGGTGCTGTAGTTGGCGGCTGTAATTGCGTAAAAGAGGTTTCTTGCACGTAGCTCTTTTAGAACAGTCCATGATGCGGCAAGGACGCCGAGGATAGCTGCCCCAATAGTAAGCTCGCCAGCTCAGCTTTTTCGCGAGCTGATCTTGTCAAATGGGACGAGCTAACGTACGCTTGGTCCGAGCAATCTGAGTTGGCCATCGGCCAACTCAGCGTTTCAAGCGCACCAACCCAGCCTCATCCTTATAGACGATGATGTCGATGCTGTGCTCTAGAAATGACCATATTCACGAGGAAAGCATCTAGGGCATTTCGGCAAGCAAATCAGCGTTACGTTATGTTATGTTACAAGCTCGCGGAAGCTCGTAAGGCCCAGACGAGCCAGGAGGCTCAAGGACCGCGAGTTCTAACACAATCAAAAAAAAGAAAAACAAAAAAGGAAAAGAGAAGGGGTTATTAACCCCATCTGGGAGAGAAACGTAAGCGAACTCAGGCTCACTACTCGGCTATCGACGTGCGTCGCCTCATCCAGATGTTGTGTACGATCTGCGCAAGTCCGCTCTGATCATCTATCTCCATGACAGACCTCATGTTGCGCACGGGCTCGATATCAGCCTGCCGTACGCCAAGGTTGAGGAACTCTTCCCGTAGGTCGTTGTCGGCGGGAGGATCTAGCAACACGTGAAAATCATCTTCTACTGCATTATTGTTGCCACAGACCCTACACCAGCGCTGTTGGCGCGATCGACCGCCGGGTTGGCTAACCTTCAAAGGCCACGCCCCTAAGCGAAACCGCAGCAGTGACAAGTATGACCCCGCAGGGATGTAGCAGGTCGTGTGTTTCGACGTTCCCATCCAATGGGTAAGCCGGCACATCTTAACCCCTGGTTTACGGTTGTCCGACACAAATCCCCGGAGTGTTGTAATAAGACGTGGCTTCTGCCAGTCATCATCAAATCGCTGCTTCAATGTTTCCATGACAGATCTAACATTGATCGGGTTCGACGAAATGAAATTGACCTTCCCCAGACTTCATCCGTGTCCGGGTGCAGCTCTGGGAAGTGCCCTAAGCACCTGAGACCCCTTAGGGTCATGGCACCCCAGTTGGTGGCAGTACAATCAGAACGCACTGCAAGGCGTATCTCCTCACGCAAAACATTGTGAAAAAACACAGTCCCCTTCGCGAGGATAACCTTGTTCCAAAAACGGTACTTAAGTGAGGCCCAGTGAAGGTGGAGGGGCCATTGACCAAGCCCCCTAAACAACACACGATTAGCCGGTATCCTTCCTAACCCAGAGAGATGCATCAGAATCGTTGCAGCTCTACCATGCGAATCTCTAGAGGTAGCAGTACTACCCATGTGCGTCGGGAGGTCGTTCAACAACATGGAGAATAAAGTACGGTCCCCACACCTGGACTCCGTATGACAGGATGGATTTGCACTTCAATAAAGGTGAGCACTTTCTTATGCAGAAACACTTCCTCGCTATGGAACTTGGCTATCAGGTTGTCATGTGTGGCTCGCTGCCCCGCACTAAATCGCTCATCAGTGCAGGATTCGAACGAGCCATCCAGCCCGTAATAAAGCCCTAAATACCTAGCCCCTGGCAACCCACGGCATCCCTCCAAACTGCACCGTATTTTTTGCTGACTTAGATGCGACGGAGAGAGGCGATCGGAGCCTCTAAGTCTGGTTCTGTGCTACTATTGTACAGCCGTATCGAGTGACGAGTACAACCCGCCTCAGCTCTCTCGTTACAGACATTCTGCCTTCCACTCAGTCGAGATTCAGCTCGTAGCTGGCAGTTCCCCGCCCACCTCCTTCCAAGGACTGACGATTATCGGCCCCCCACTTTCCACTTCCTCCCCGGTCAATCGCAGACACTGCGCCGGGCTCGGCCAGTGGCGGGCCAGTGGAAGACGCCCGCTGAGGGGCGGCTGGACGGCCGGCGGGCCGGGAGGGGGCGGGTTGGGAAGGGTTTCCTTGAGGTCGAGTCTTTTAGCGTAGTAGCAGGGCCTTGGAAGCTCAGGAGGGGGAGCTCAGTTGGGGATCTCCCGTGGTTCCGGTGTAGGGGTCGCCTCGTGCCCCGCCGATCAGGTGGTCGTTGGGAGTTTCTTTGGGTTCGTGTCGTGTCATTGTTTTGTCGAGCGTGTGTCGCGCGCCGTGTGGGTGTTGGTGGGCCGCGCGGTGGAGGTGTCGCGGCCGGTGGGCCGCAGTTGCGCGGCCCTTGGTTGGCTGGGGCTGTGTTCTGCTGCAGTGTAAGGGCCCTTGGCAGCTGGTCTCCCCGCTTCCGATCTCGCCCTTTCAAAGCACGGTCAGCATGCACGCCAGTTTCGGCAGAGCCATGAGAATATGGTTAAGGGAGACAGGAGCACAGAACCACTGCTCGCTGCATACCGACCTTCAGTGAGGGGCTTAAGAAGGCACTTTAGGCGCCGATATTTGTGAGCAAGCAGATTCAGGTCATCTGCGATCAGCTTTAGGGGAACACGCACCCCATCAACAATGGGGGCCACGTTCTCTCCTGTAACAGGCCTTCAGAACCTTCAGCATGGTGCCATGTATACCGCGCATCTTTTGTCTCAGCCAAAGCAGGCGACGCGGAACACAATCAAGGGCTTTCTGAAAATCAACCCGACAGACAAAGAGCAGGGATGACAATGCGGCAGGGTCAATCCTGTGCCGCTCAGCACGTCCCAGAGGCGGGATGGCTGCCAGCCAGTGGCGCATTGGACCAGAGTGATAAGGTTTACAGAGGTTGGCAACACGAGGACTTGTAGGTGAGAGGAAATGGCCCGCGCTTCGTATTTCCTAGGCAACTGAGCCCGGTGTGTTTTGCTCTCTCCCAGTGGCTTTCCAGCTTCCGTATCCCTCTTCCACATGTCCGCTCAACTCAAAGCCTCGACCCCGACATGACAACAGCACAACACAACGGAACGAGGTCCTTTTTCGTCCTTTTGAAGGAGAGGGAGCAGCCCTGCAGCAAGCAATAAAGCTCCGCTGTCGCTGCTGCTGCTACAGTTGCTGCCGTATCCTCCTCCCGCCACTGACTGACACCACTACCATCAGCAGCGCGCGCATCGTGCTCTGCCGCCCCGCTCCAGCACCCGGACCGGACGCCTCCTTTCGTGTCATCAAGCACTCGCACTCCAGCAGCTTGAGAGGTGAACACACTGCGGCCCACTGTCACTCGTACAGACAGGTGCTGAGCGAGGGACGGCCTTCAGCGACCGACCTTGCCCAGGCTGGAGTCCGTCTTCGGGTTTGCCGTGTACTCCTGTACGGCAAAACACCCACACACGTGCGCGCATCACATGGAGGGTTGCGCGCCACGTGGGGCCCAAGGCAGCTCCGCAACGTCGTGGAACATGTGCCGCCTCACGCCTCAGTGCCGCCACACGCAATGGGGGGGTGGGGACTCGCATGGCCCACATGGCTAGGGGATCGGCTGGTAGTCGTAGTAAAACAGGCGAACACCACATCCAGCCACACGGTGGTGGCTCCACGTACATGTGTCGATTGCCTAAAATCCCGGGGGCCGCCGCCGCGGGAGCGGGAAACGCCCCCGAATGGACTGGGGGGTTCTGCGGTGAGTCCCTCTCCACAGTCCCCCCCGTCGGCAACACACGCGAATTATCGTTCTATAAATTCCGGTATCGGTACAAACCGGGTTAAAAATAAACCTCTCTCGCAGCCCTCGCGCGGCTGTGGTAGTCCACACGTGTTCGTATGAGGGGGGGTTGCAAAGATGCGAAATTCACTGGGTTAATCAGTGTCGCCATACCCATACCCATACCAGTAAGTGTATTCACGCAGCCGTACCGTTGTTCGTACCTGCATCTCCACGATGGCGTGGTCGATCTGCGACTGCAGCCTCCGAAGGTCCCGAATGTACAGCATCCGAAGCGCAGCGGCGGCCGTACGAAGCGCCTCACCTGCGACAAAAATGCAAAGGACAGGCAGTACGGCATGTTGGCGTGTCAAACAGCATATTGGTAAAAGCCCACGGGGGCCAGATCGCCTGCAGCTCGCATTTCCATACGCCCGTTAAGCCCCTCATCCCGTGATGTTGTAATGAGTTACAAAAAATATATATCAAGAAGAAAATTAGTAATCGGTTTTCCTCCTCATCCTCTCCGTGGGTTTTCCTCACAACCCGGCTTACCGTCCACCTCGAAGCCCAGTGGAACTCGTTCCAGCGCCTGGCTGGGCGGCCGCCCCGCACTCCACACCCCTCCCGTTCCCCCCACTGCGGGGCCCATCTCGCACACGCAGCGCTGTGCAGCGGCCTGATCGACAGACAGACAGACAGACAGACAGACAGACAGACAGGCAGGCAGACAGGCAGTCAGACAGACAGAGATACAGACAGGCAGACATACTCCGCCCCTCATCCCGCATTCACGAACCAGCACCGTGCAATCCGACCTCGTGCCGCCCTTCGGCCCTATCTCACTCGAAGGCCTCCCAACCGTGAGCCAGGTCCCCCCAGTCCCAACAGCTCATTGGACCCACCCGCAGCTGCTGCACCAGGGACAGGGATGAGGGGGAGCCGGCCGAGGTGCCTTCACCAGGCCCACCGTCGCCACTGCGGCTGCCGGGTCCGTACCCCGCCCCCGAAGTCCCCACCCCGGCTGCCGCCACCAACTGAACCACCGCCGCCACTACTCGAGGCTCGTGGACTGCGGATGGTGGAGGCGGGCGGGCGGGCGGGCGGGCGGGCGAGAGAGGGAGGGTAACGGCCACCGTGTTCAACCGGGGGAAAAGGTGGAGGTCGAGGTGAAGGGCAAGTTGAGCTGGATCTGGATTAATCTGGTCGGGAGCAGGAGGTCCTCGAGGAGGGAGAAACGAAGAATACTCAATACTCGGGAATCAGTCCCCGTTCTTGGGGGTAGGAGGAAGTCCCTTTCGGATTCCGATGCTTCCGTACGGTGC